AGAAAGAAAATTCACATAATCCTCTCAATAGATGCAGGAAAATATTGGACAAAATTCGACACTCATGATGGACGAGCACTCCTGGCACATGAGGAGCGACCCCACCACCCAGGTGCCGGGACCCGTAGAGCCCAAGAAAGTGCCCTAACACACAGGCCCCCGCCCAGCCTAAGCCGGGGCTGGGCTGCTCCGTCCCTGGCAGCAGGTCCTGGCCTCCTGCAAAGGGATAGCATGTCCAGGCAGCTGCAGGGGACCCAACCTGAGCCCTGGTCTGACTAGGGGACCCTGCACGTGTGTCCTGGACCCGGCGATAGGACACCTTGCAGTCCCAGCCCAGACGTGGTGGTGCTATCTAGGTGGACACTGCTTGCACTTGCCAAGGATCAGAGGAATGACCAGGGGGTCCTGGCATCAACCAGATGGCCCACAGGCTGTGGCTGAGCCCTGCAGACCCTGCAGAGAACCGAGGCTGCCGAGTGGCAAGGCCAGGCCTCCCCACCAAGGCCCTTCCTCCAAACCAGGAAAGAACTTTTGCAGATGAAGGGGCTACATCCAGGGCTCCAGGTCAGAGCCTAAAGACTTTCAGGTATCCTGGGAATAAAAGGACTCCCCTGCTCATTTCAACTGGCAGCAAATGTGGCTTAAATCTAGTAAACATTTGGGGAGAAACCCCCACAATAAAGCCAAGGGAAGCACACACAGGACACCAGCAAGGCGTGGTCACGAGTGGAGACAGGGTCACGGCATGGCTGACCCCTGGCCAGCTGGTGCTGCCCATCGGGGCTCTGACCAGCGATCCCACCCCGTGGTGCCTCCTGCCCGTGGAGCCCTGCTCAGGCCAGGCTGTTCCACCATCACCTGCTCTCGGGGCACCAGGACCCCTGTACTCACCTCAGAAGCTCTGAGCCCCCCAGGCTACCCTGGGCTAGGGGGGGGAGGGGAGAGCGAGGACAGAGAAGGTGCCAGAGCCAGCACAGGGCAGGACATGGCTCACAAGGAAGCAACGCTCACCAGCCCCAGAGCAGGAAGTGGCACAGGGAAGGAATCGGGCCGGTGGTGTGGACCAAAGTCTGCAGGAAGGCTGGGAGGAGGTTCTCGCCCACACCCAGCCCTGCCTCCCTTCCCTCCACCAGGGACAGTTGTACCCACCACGTGGCGGCAGCCCTGAGACCAGGGAAAGGCCAGGCCCTGCCGTCCAGTGTTCTGGAGAGTTCTAGGTGGGTTGCCCAGGGCAGGGGTGGGGAAGAGTCCCCAGCTTTGGCTTTCTCAGGGAAGCCCTGTCTGGAAGGGTAGGCACAGGCCTCTGGGGACACGAGGGCTTGTCAAGGGGCACGTAGGAGGTGGGGCTCTCAGGCTGCGGGGATGCTGCTAGGGTCTGCGTGCCTGTGTCTCCTCAATTCCTGCCTTGAAAGCTGCACCCCAGGAGGTGGTGTAGAAGACGGCCTGAGGAAGGTGATTGGATCACACAGGTAGCACCCTCAAGGGGGAGAGGAGTGTCCATACAGAGACMCAGAGAACCCCCTTATCCTCCGTACTGGAGGACACCACCAGAAGAGAGCCAGGTGTGGACCAGGACGCAGCCTCCCCAGGCCCTCYGGAAGTGCGGGAGGCACATTTCTGCAGTGTACAGGCTGTCTCCTGGAGCAAACACCTGAGGCACCTGCCCCGCAAGAGCGGGAACTCGCTGGGTGGGACCGCCTCTACTGACAGGCCGACCAACAGCCTGCAGTGGCCACTGGGTGCTGGCTGGCTCCACCTGTAGGCTCTCTGGAAGAGCGCTGGGATGGGCCCTGAGTGGTGGGCAGACCCTTGCGCTGCCAGGCTGCAGCTCAAGCACAGCCCCTGGTCCCCTGGCTGGTCCCCAGGGGGACCCTTCCCACAGCAGAGCTCTCAGGCTGGGCGAGGGTATGGGGACCTAGATGGCCTCCAGCCTCCGAGACTTGGGCAATGAGGTCATCAGGGCTACCAGCAGCAGCTTCAAAGGGCCCACCCCAGTGGCAACTTAGAAATGTCACTGGGGGCAGCCTGGTGCCAACTCCTACTGGCCTCACTGGAAGCCAGAGGGTGACCCCAGAGGTTCCTTCTGAAAGCTGCCCCTCACCGGGTGCCCTGTGGACGGCCTCAGCATGATCGTCGAACACATTGTGCTGAGAGGAAAAGTAACAGCTAGTAAAAGCACGCTGGACGGGGAGCAGGGCAGTGGGGACCTTCAGGGACGGCCTCTGTGGCCATGTGCGACACTAAGTCAGGTGGGGCCCAGTGTTTCAGCACCAAGGAGGCCTTGGGTAGGCCTTGGACATTCCAGAGTCCAACCTCCCAACAGGCTGGCTAGGCTGGACAGGGCCTCGGGGGCTCTGCTCACTTGTCCTACTTCCTCTCCTTCCTGGCCAGACACCTGTCCCCAAACTGTCCCAGGGTCCAAGAAGAGTGAAAATGGGCTTTGGAGCTGGGTCACCCACTGCTCACTGGCAGTGAAGACCCACCACTGGTGGCAGGGAGACTGGCCCTGGCCCTGGTGGCAGTCCTATCCTGCCCAACTGGCAGATTTGCTCTGGGGTCGACCAGAAGGTGCCAGGCAGAGGGATGCGCTGGTCAGCTCAGCAAACTCTGCTCGGATGCACAGACCGAGGAGCCCCCAGGATGGAGAGAGCTGCCTTGGCCACTGCAGGCCTGGGACAAGGCCTCTGGGCAGGGGCAGGGAAGTGGGCAGCTGGCACCTTGAGCTGTGCCATAGGAGCCATCCAGGGTCACTTTCATGCGCAGGAAGCCCTCAGGCTGGTGCCCATGTTGGTGATGCCAGCTGGCTGTCCTGCAGGTGGGCATGACAGGGTTTGGCTCCCCCGAGTGGTGGGTCCAGACATCTAAGGACAGGAAGACTCTGAACACCAGGTCATGTTAAGAGTGGCAGGGCTGAGGGTGCCAGGGGCACCGTGGGGAGTCATGGGATGTTGGCAGGAATAGCCCAAGTCGCCACCCAGGTCCCACTTGGCCAAGCCAGTCAAGGACAGTGAGGGCAGCCATGCAAAGCCCAGTGCTGGCCCACATGCACCTCAGCCAGCTTCCAGACCCAACATCCATGGATGGAAGTAGTGTCCCAAGAGGAAGGACTGTCCCCACAGCAGCTGTGAGCAGGACCACCTAGGACTATGGTGCTCCCAATGCCTGCAAACTGGGAAGGGGGACATCCAGACATTTTGAGAACCACAGGGCACATGGGTCCTGCCTGAGTGGACACACACAGCCCCAAGGGGCAGCTGACAGTTCTGCCAGGACGAGCCTGCATGAGCCCACAGGCTCTCCACCTGTCACTGACATCTACCGGGGCTAGTGGGAGTGACCAGCACCTTGTCTCCTGGTCAGACGGCAGTCAGGAAGGACGAGTGGGAGTCTGGAAGTACCCCACCATGACAGCAGCTGAACCGGGTCTCAGGGGAGGCTGGAGGTTAGGGCCCCTGAGGCTCCCAAGACACAGGGGGAGGCCATACATCCCAAGACGCAGCATGGCCCCTGCTGGAACAGGGGTTCCTGGAGACATCATGGACAACTGGACTCTCAGCCAGGGGGACCTGATCCTCTCAGGTACTGTCTGCAGCCACCAGGAGAAACAACGTGGAGGACAGGTCAGAACCAGGCCCTGCAGTCTCCTGGGCAGAGGGGACTGGCTCTGCTGTGGCCACCCAGGTAGCCAGCTGGGGACTGTCCATGGATGGTCTCCACCCCACTGGACCCGTGCAACTGGCTGTACAGGGGCAGGTCTGGCCTGGGGGTGCAGGAAGCCACCCCCCTCCTGTGCACACAAGCTAAGAGAGTGGGCAGCAGAGCTGAGACCTAGGACAGGACCTGCCTCCTGAGGTCCTGGTCATCCCTGAGAAGACACCTAGGAAGGCAGGGGACAGTGCCGCGCCACCTCCCCTGTCCCTGCTGGGCCCCTGATGGGCTGCCTTCCCGTCACCTTACACCTGCTGGAATCAGGTCCCTGGGTGGGCAATGCTGCCTGGGGAGCTGAAGAGCCCAAGGCCTCCCTGACTCTGGTGGGAGCCCCGCAGGCTCCGGCCTGGCTCCTGCTCAGCTCAGTGCGCAGGCTGCCGTCACAGCGCGGCCTGCTCTCCAGCCGGACCAGCAGAGCACCCTTAGGGATGCTCTGGTGGTCAGTCCCTCACTCCTGCCCCCGAGAACTGCTCCCCAGGTGGCCCAGTCCCTCAAGGCAGCATAGAAGCCAGCGGACTCAGGAGAGCTGGGTTTGAAGGAGAAAAGGCCAGTTCACGCCGCTGCAGCAGGGGAGCTGGGACGGAGCGCCAAGGAGACGCAGACCCTGGGCCAGGTCCTGCCCACGGGGATGGTGCCCCAAGACAGAACCCTCCCCTGCTGCTGGAGGGCCAGGACGGGATGGGGTGACAGAGGTTGGGGTGGGGGGGACAGAGGCGGCCAGGACMAGGGCCACAGGCCCTTCCCTGGGCAGCGTCTACTGAGAACTGCTAGGACAGCAGGGCTGGCCCAGATGCCCAGGACACAGGTGGCAGAACTGAAGTGACTGGGAACAGCAATGCCCCCAGCCCTCCCTGACAGGTGGGGTGTGCAGCGGGGGAAGACGGGGGCTGAGACCCAGCGAGGAACCCAGATACCTCCAAGATGGGCTCTGGCTGACAGCCAGCAAGACACTGGGGGCAGACATCCAGCCGCGGCTCCGCACAGGAGGAACCCACGTCTGTCCCCAGGGTCTTGGGTGGCCCTCAGCCTCGGGCAGCACCTGCACCTGTCCCTCTCCTCTGGAGCTTCTGTTCCCTCAGAAGGCTCCACCCTGTCTGAGCCTCCGTCTCCTCCAAAGAAGCCCTCTGCCTCCTGTCCTGGGGCCCACCCGCGCCTGGCCCTGCACACTCCTTTCCTCCCAGACACCACCTCCAGGTCAGCCCTGCCCACCCCCAGAGCCCATGTGGCCCTCACCCCACCTCAGCACCCACCCCCACCCCTTCCTGCAGCCTCTTCAGGCTTGAGCCTCATGAAACAAGACCAACCCACAAACTGCTCATGTTTATTTATAAAGTCATGTCCTAAAAAATATTTCAAGTAATAAATAGCTCTCAGCAACACCTGTTACAACACGCGCCCGCCTGGAGTCGGCAGGACCATGTGGGAGGGACCCTGGGGTCTTGGGCACGGGACAGACACCACAGGAGTCCCTGACCCTCCTGCAGCACCTGTGCCACCCCAAGACTTCCTCTSTCCAGGACAGAGCACACTTGGGACCCAAGCTGTGGCCGCCCTGCAGAGCTGAGGCAGGTCAAGGCTTGGCCTAGCCCCAGCCCCCAGAGCTGCCACRTGGGAGCCCGGCTAGGCCTTCATCACTGCAGTGAGGGAAACCTGCAAGAAGGAGGAAAGGTGGGCTCAGGGCTGCTCCCGCACCGCCCCCCCCCAAATGCCCCTAGGGACTGTGACAGCCCAGCCCCCAAGTCCCTGCAAGCTCTKCCCTGTGACTCAGGGTAGCAGAGGCCACTGAGCGAGGCAGCTGGGAGGGGCCTAAGGCACTGGGACGCACCTCCTGGAGGACCTGGCCCAGCATCTCCTGGCTGTGAATGGACCGCCTGTGGAGAGAGGGCAGCTCATGGGGGGCCACCTGCTCCAGGCTGGCCTCTCACCAGACCCTCCTGCCAGCTCAGCCAGGCAAGCAGGCCCATTCCTGCCTTGGGCCAGCAGAGAACCAGACAGGGAAGGCTGCTGAGTGCTCAGGGCCAAGAACACCTACTGGTCAGCCCAAGGCCCAGAGCCGCACCTGTCCACTCTGGTTGCTACGGTCACTGTGAAGGAGCCCTCGGTGTCAGGCCAGTAGGTGGAGGGCACGACCCTGTAGGTGCCCGCAGACAGCAGGCAGAGCCGGCTCACCTCCTGGGCATAGCGATGTGGCACACAGCTCAGCAGTGGCTCCTGGAGCAGCAGGGGGCCTGTGCCCTGCCTCTCGCCACCTGCAGGGACCTGGAGGGTGCAGGGCTCAGCCTGAGGCGGCTGTATGGATGGGGACACTGCCCAGGCAGCAGCAGCTGGAGTCTGCTGGATCCCAAGATGCCGGTGCCTGGCCCTCCTGAATCACATGCACCCCTTTTCTGGGGAGCAAGTGCCAGGCCCACCCACTGAACCTCCCTCCCACTGAGACTGGACCACCCTTGCCAGAAGGCCCTGGCAGTGGCACCAAGCCCAGGAACCTCAGATCAGCTCTGCGGTARGCACGTACCACCGCCCAGACCCCAACCCAGAGTGCTCTGGCCAGCAGCCCTGGGCACTGGCACTTTGGTCTGCGCTCCTTCCTGGTGGCCCACACAGCACGCAGCACCAGGCAAGGTCCCAGTGTCTTCCTCAGCTCTCTGGGCTCAGTGGCRCCTCCGAGGGAGGCACCGACCCTCTTACCAGAAATCCCGCTCTCTTCTCTTGGTCACTGCATGCCAGGCCATGTGTTCCCACCAGCTACAGCCCAGGACATCCTCAGCCATTGTCCTCCCAGAACAAGCACAGCCCCATGTGGGCTGGGAGCCCCAGAACTGTCCCCACAGAACTCAGGCCTGTGACCCTGAGCCATGAACTCTCCCTCCCTCCCCCTCCTCCTCCAGATCTGCTAAGTGCCCCCCCCCCCACCGGCTGGCTACAGAAGGGGCAGGACAGAGCCGGGCCGAGGAAGGCACYGGGCGAGGTCTGATCAGCCCTTCCCTGGCAGGAGCCTGAGCCACCTCCACCTGCATGAGTGGCTAAGCATGAGCAGCAGTGTTACCAGATGGCCCATGGCGAGGTCCCTTGYCATGACCTCTGCTTCCTGACCCTACCCCTCCCCTGGCTGACCTGGACTGATACGCCRCCCTCTGGAACGACACTGGGGCGACCGTCACTTTGCCCGACTGCCTCCTTCCTGTCTCAGCTGTGCAGGGCTGACCCCAGCTGCAGGCTCCGGTAGCTCCAGGGGCACCCTCGGGCTGCTGGCCTCCCTGAGGGCACCCCCACCTCTCCTCTGCCTGCTGGCTGCAGGAGCAGCTCACCCCACTGTCCGYTCCTCTGGCCCCACCTACCCCTTCTTGCAGACCAGGCCATCGCTGCTCTGGCTTCCACTGCCCCCTACTGGGGAGCAGCTCTTGCCAGTCCCACCCAGGGCGCTCAGTGACATGGGAGGGGCAGGTGGTATGACCTGGGTGGCTCCTGGGTGTGTTCACTCCCTGTTGCACCAGTGGGTAGGGCTTCTCTGAAATTGCTTGCTGGGGCCAAATCCATGGTGAGGCTGGGCCTCTGCCCAGGATCCCCTGAGCAGCCTCCAGAGTCCAGGATCCTGGGGTAGGGGGCATGCCCTGGGGAGAATCGACCTCAGGACACAGATGTTCCAAGCCAGGGTGAGTGGCCCAGGGCCATCTGAGCTGACCCCAGCAAATACAGCCTTAGAAACCTAGAGACCAGCCTCCCGTGAGACCAGCCAGCTGGGCTGATGTGCCCAACTGAGCCCAGGTTCTGCCTCCCAGGCAGCTGATTACTGGACCACACGGGACAGATATGGGTGGCCTGGGCCTCCCCATACCTGTCCCTTGCTGAGGAGCCCACCTGGAAGACATGAAAGCCAATGGGATGCAACTGGCTGTCACTGAGCGGGCAGTGCTGGTGCAGGGTGATTCGGATGCAGCGGGGACCGGAGCCCTCGGGGACTGAGAAAGGGAGGCAGGGGTTGCAGAGGTAGGAGGCGAAGTTCCTGCTGCCCCCTGCTGTCTGGCCTGCTCTCCAGCAGCCCCGCAGCTGCAGAGTCTCCCACTCGCCGGAGGGCAGGGCTGCCCCAGGGGAGGCGCCCTTGGCTGCTGGCCTGACAGCACTGTGGAGGGAGGAGCGGAGGAGGGTGCTGGCAGCCTGTCTGAGGAATGTGCCCACCCAGGGCAGCCACCAGAGTCCCATCCCTGGATGGCTCCTCACCTGAGGGAGACTTTGCCTGTGGAGAAAACTCGCAGCAGGAACTGCCCTGGCATGTCCTTCAGGAAGGTGCTGGGGACAGCCAGGTAGTAGCCAGGGGAGAGCTCGCAGTGGAGATGGACCTCTCGGTCATATGCATGACACACAGTGCCAGCCACAGGGGGTGTGGACAGGATTCTGGGCAGGCTGACCCGCCGTTTCTCCACCTGCAGARGGCAGGCAGAGGTCAGCGGGAGAGCGCCCAGCACCCAGCTCTCCACTCCCTGCTCAGCAGGTGAAAGTCCATGCGCACCCTCATCCTCTCAAGGGCCAACTGGAAAAGCCAGACCCAAGGCTTCCCCGAGCCCTGTCACCAGGGTCAAGGAGGAAACAAACAAATCTACACAAGGCTGTGCCCCCAAAGACCCCCGGCCAGCACAGCTGGGGAACTGTGGGAAGGGGCTCGCCCCTCCTTCGTGAGAGGAAAGAACCATAATGCAGGCCTGCCCACAAAGGCCGCGACAGCTTCCAGCCCACGAGGACACAGCCACTGGGCAGGCAGACGGGCAGCAGCTCCCAGCCCAGCCAGTCTTCCAGGAAACAGCCAGTTTAGGATCTAGTGGCTGAGTGTGACCAAAGCCTCAGAACAGGCCCAAGAGGTCAAAGATCAGCGTCACAATCCCCACCAAGCAGGGGAAGGACCGAGGGAGGAGTCAGAGGGACGCCTGGAGGACGGAAGCAGCTCCTCTCCTGAGTGGCTCTGCTCACTGTGCTGGAGAGCAGGGCCGAGAGCAGGGCCGGGGGGCAGCTCCTGTGGGCCCCCCACCCCCCCGGCTGTTGTCCTGTTCTTCTCTGGCCAGTGAGGCACAGGGCAGAGCTGGAGGGCCTCAGCTCAGCTGGGTCCATGGCAGCCCATGGAGGTGAGAGACAGGGCCCCTGGCAGAGTGCCAAAAGCAGGCCTGGTCCCCACGGCCACTGCGGGGGTGGGTGGGGTGACAGTTACCTTCCAGATGTGCAGGCCCACGGCCTGGTAGTCCTTGACCTGGTGATCCTTGCCCAGGAGGCTTGATGGGGCAGGGCCACGGCCCACCAGAGCCCGGGCCCTGCCTGCTGGGTGCTTCCTGGGTCTCTGCAGAACAGCCACACACAGCTCGCTGGGTTCTGAGAGCCTCAGCCAGTACTTGGGGTTGCAGGGAAAGCAGCTGTTGTTCCGGCAACCTCCAGCTGACTGCCCCACGACCCAGGCACCAGGCAGCGCCTGCGTGTGGCACAGCGTCTTCTCTAGCAGGAGAGCATCCACATCAGCTCTGGGACAGCCCTGCTGTACCCCCGGGCCATGCGGGCAGGCCTCAACCTCCTCCAGTTCCCAGGATGCACGGGTGGGGCCTGGGCACGAGCTCTGCCCCGGGTGCCCATGTGGGACCCACTCTCCTGCTGCCCTACCTGTGTAGAGACTCTGCAGGTGGCCGGCCTCTGTGACTGGGTAGCCAATGGTGACCTCCTCAAATTCCCTGAGGAACTCCTCTTCCTCCACCCAGAACTCCCCGTCCTGGAGCTGGGACAGCAGCTCGGCCCCCTCAGCTGGCTCCACCTGACTCCACCCTTCACCCCTGTAAGGAGCCTCCCTCAGGAAAGCTGCTTCCAAGAGAGTCCCCCCTTCCAGCACCCCGTGGTCCTGCTGCTGGGCCCCCTCCCGTGTCGAGAGGCATCCTGAGATGAGGGGCCTCTCTCCTTCCCCAGTGGGGCTTCTTGCCTCTGGACTGGCTTCCCCAGAATGACACCTGCCCTGCAGTYTCAGTGGGAGCTGCTGCATGCACTCCAGCTGGGAGTCCACCACCGTCTGCAGCTCCAGGCTTCCAGGGAATCCTGGCTTAGCTGGGTCTTCAAACCAAGTTCCTGTTCCCGGGTCTGCGGGTTCCCCCAAGACCTAGGGTCACGGTGGTCCCACACCTCCCAAGAACTGCCCGAGGCCCTGAACACAGCAGTGCACGAGGTGCCGCCAAGTGGCCCTGCAGACACGAACACTGACCTGACAGCTGGACTCACTAAGGCACAGGCCAGAAGGCTGGGGACCACAGGGTCTCAGGGCCCTACTCCTGGTACTCACCCCTCTCTCCAGAGTCCCTGCCAGCAGTGCCGGCCCCAGGGGTTCAGGATCCGCAGCAGCAGGATGCCCTGGCCAGCTCGTCCCTGGAGTTCCCGCAGATCTGAGACGATGAAGGCATGGAATGYCCCCAGGTCCCTGGCACCTGTGTGAGGCAGAGCCCAGGTACAGAACAGAGTCCCCACGGGGGAGAACACACGGGTCTCCGACACCCTGCCAGGATGTTCCAGCCCGGCTACCAGGAGGCCCCAGGGCCCAGGACCACGGAGCGCCGTTCKTGACTGCAGGTCAGTTAGCTCAGGAGTCTCCAGCAGCACACTGTGCCAGGCAAAGAGCCAAGGCGGGCCCTGGCTTCTTGTGCAAGCCATTCCTGTCCCAGACCTCGGCGGCCACCACATGTCAGGGAAGGACCTCGCTGCTTTCACTGCCACTGACCAGCTGGCAACTGCCCAGAACCAAGAGACCGGTTGGGGCAAAGTCAGCTGGAGGCAGGGCCATTCAGACCAGAGGTACCAGGGAGGACTGGCTGCCAGGCGAGGGCTCACCTGGTGACACCTCGGGACACATGGACGTGACATGYAGGAGGCAGGGCAGTGGGCCAGGAAGAGCAAAGGGAGCTCCTGGAACTACCTCAGGGCTTCACCTAGGGCACCACAGTTGCCACTCTGGTGTCCCTCTTGTCCCCAGCCCTTGACACTTCAGTGGGCTCCAGCCATTCTCTATGGGGGCAGGGGGCAAAGCCATAAGTGCTAGGAATTAGCCCTCCCACACTGGGGCGGGCCCAAGTCAACAACTCCAGGGAGGAGTCCTGGGACCCAGACCAGCACCTGACCAACCCCAGACACTGCCTGGCAGGGTCCGCGAGGCTGCCTGCATGCTTCAGTCCACACTCATGTTCATGTTTTTAACCAAAATCATTATCAAAACTAATCCTACACGTGGGGCTGGGGCTGGGGCTGGGGCTCAGCGGTAGAGCCTAGCACGTGTGAGGCCCTGGATTTGATCCTCAGCATCACATAAAAATAAATAAAATAAAGGTATGTGTCCAACTACAATTAAAAAGTAAATATTTTTAAAAAAACCCTTACATGTAAGTAGAAATTACAGACATGTTCACTGGATATCATTTATGACAAACAAAAGGACTCAAACATCCCACATTTGAGGTATAAAGAAAATCTTGGCAAGTCCATTAACAAAACAAAACCCTGCAACATTCACATAACAGCTTAGAAAGGCACACAAAACACCAGAGCAGAGGCTGGGGCGGCACAAGCCAGCGATCCCAGCAGCTGGGTGCCAGAGTTCAATCCTTGGTACCAAAAAAAAAAAAAAAAAAAAAACCCAAACCAACTAGAAGACAAAACATGAAGACGTTTATGAAAAAAAAAAGTACCCGAAAAAGTCACAGGTGACTACACGTCGTCGCTGACATCTTCTATACCAACTTCCCTAACGAGCTTTGATACATTTCACTAAAACAGAAAGGGTCTGGACTTTGCAGTCGCCAGTTGGGTGGATGACGAATGTGACCAGCCTCGACTCTGCCACCTGCTTCCTAGACTCTCTGCAGGACACAGCCACGTGGGTCCTGCCGCGCTCCACTGAAAGGACTGGTCGAGGGAAGAGGGGACCTCTCTCTGGAGAAGGGGCAGAGCGCCAACAGGCATCGGGTAGGCAGGGAGCGCCTGCGGCCACAGCCTTACCAGCTCGGGGACTGAGAACGGAGCAGCTGATCAGACACTGGTCCTTCAAGCGGAGCAGCTGCCGACACGTCCTGTGCTCCCAGCCATGGGGTCTGTCTTGCTGGCCACTGGTTCCTGCTAAGTCCTTCAGGCTCCACCTCTCTGCCAGGCCACCAGTTAAGTCCACCAGGGCATCTGCCACCTGCCCTGCCCACAGGTGCTCATAGGACCCATAGACCCTAGGGGACGATAGCGTTGTGGAGTGAGCCTCAGCAGGACTCTCGTCTTCCAGTCTCCACTCCCATCAAGCCTCTTGTAGTTGTCACCAAGTCTGGGCTTAGTCTCTCCTGCAAATGCCCATCAACTGTGTCCCAGCAGCTTCTGCCATGCTCAGACACCTTCTGGCCTCCAGTGCGGGCAAAGTGTAAAATGAGAATGGTGCAGAGATGCCAACGCCCTCGTCCCTGGAGCTCATACCCCATGCGCAAATATCAATGAGGTCCCTGGCCAGCCCTTTCAAATGCCTGCCTGTGGGTCAGCTCCTTCAGCAAGTTGCTATCCACAATCTAAGAGGGAAAGCTGTGCAATCAAATTTCRCAAAGAGGACTGTGACAAGCGAGTATTGCCACCCAAGTGGCTTGCTCCTCTCCAACAAGTGTTCAGAGGCCACCTCTCCTGAACGTTCAAGGACAAGTACACAAAAATACTTTCTTGTTGGGTCTGAGAAAATGAAAAGGAGGACATGTCTGTCCTTCCTGCGGAGCGACGACCCCACCTGGACTGAGAGATGGGGAGGCAGGGAGTGGGCAGGATAAGGGCCAGCCACAGGCCTCAGAGCAGAACACCTGCCTCTGGACCCACAGGCCTGGCTACCAGACCCTGAGGTTGCCAGGCACTCTGCGGCCCTGAGCAAAGAGCCACACATGGATGTCACAAGCCAGGATGTCCAGCCTGGTCCTGCTGCTCAGTGCAGCACACGTACTTGGCATAGACCTTTTCCAGTAAGGGAAGCCAGAACACATCCTCTCTCTGGCAGCGGGAGAAGCAGAGTCTCCCTGCAAGACAAGGCAGACGGTCATCTATGGTCACCTCCTCCCATCGTCCAAACTGCCAAATTCGACAGGTGAAGAGGCCACAGTATGTCTGGTCGGACCAGCTCGGCTGTCCTGGAGGGAAGACCTACCGTGCACAGGGAGAGGAAAAGCAGAACATGAGAGATAAGCAGCAATAGGAGCCCCCAGCATCTTGACCACAGGGTGCCCAGCAAGCACAGGTGCCTGCAGAGCGCAAGGGCTTGATGGACCTGCACCAGTGTCCATCCCTGCTCACAGCAAACTCAACCACCAGAAACAACATGCACAGTCTTTCCATCTGAATACTTTTGAATTGCATTCAGGAACACAATATCCTCCAAAACTTTTTTTAAAAAGTCAACCGTTACATTTTAGTCCCAAATAAGTATAAAACCTGAATCCGAAACAACTGACTCTGGCAGGTACAAGCGACTCAACTCTCGCCAGAACTGGCTGCCAACAGCAGGTCCCCTGGGCCTAGCAGCCCTTTGGGCTGTYGGACCCATCACGCCCACTTCTGGTTCCCTGGGATCTCCGGTTCCCACCCAGGGGTAGAGGAGCACAGGGCTGCACCAGGCAGACCTGTACGTGCTGGCCCCACCACTCAGGGGCCAGGAAGAGGACGACCATGGGGTCAGCACTCTCTTCTGAAAGAAAGGTCAAAGCCAGTACGGCCTCCTGGAGAGGAGGTATGAGAGCCATGTGCTTTGGCCCAGGGCAGACAGGGCTCCACAGGGGTGCACCTGCCCTATTTGAGAACCCTGAGCAAAGAGCCACGCCTAAAATAGCGAACACAGAAGAAAATCTGCACAGGCTTCTGCGCTGTGGTATTTGCCAGAACAGTTTTGATTACCTTTCACATTTTTACATTTAAAACCTGTTTTTTAAAAAAAGAAAATCAGCTGGGCATTGTAGTACAGGCCTATAACCCAAATGACTCAGGAGGCTAAGGCAGGAGGGTGGCAAGGTTGAGGCCAGCCTGGTCAACTTAGTGAGGCCTTGTCTCAGAATAAAAAATAAAAAGAGCAGGGGGTATAGCTCAGTGGCAGAACATTCTGGGGTTCTATCCCAAGTACAGGAGTTGGGGTAGAGAGCAACGAGTTCAGGAAAGAGATGCCAAACCAGCAACACAGGCCCTTCTGCTGATCCTATCCCGTGCCAGGTTGGTGTGGTTTTGTGGTTTGGGTATGAAGGGTTCCCCAAAGGCTCGTGTTGAGCCTGGTCCCCAGTACAGCAGTGTGCAGAGGTGACTGGATCAGGAGGGCTCTGACTTCCTCAGGGGGTCTGTCTGCTGAGATTTGTATTTGATGGCAATACTGAGGTGGTGGCCTCCCCAGTCCATTCCTGACTGCACTGAGGAAGTGTGGATCTGCCATACCCTTCCACCATGACGCTCTACCTTGCCTCAGCCCAGAGCAATGGAGCCAGCTGACCATGGGCGGGAATCTCTGCAGCTGGAGCCAAAATAAACCTTTCTCTCTCTAAGATGTTTTTTATCAGGTGATGAAAACAGCTGGCCCATGTCTTTTTACCCCAAGAGCGTGGCTCTGGCCACATGGAGAACCAGGGCTCAGAGCTCAGAGCAGGGCAGAGACCCCCGATTCTGGTCCACTCCTGCATGAGAGGGATATGCTGGTCAATAGTCGCAGGCTTGGAGCCCTCAAGTTCCCACTGACCTCCTGCACAGCCATGGAAGCACTGCGCAGGGCTGTGTGTCTGAAGGGGCTCCCTGTGCAGAGGCCTGCTTGGTCACAACCCTGGGCTGAGAGCCCCATACCTGGTCCAGGAGATGCCGACTCTTCTGCAGGGCGGCGCAGGCACACAGGAACCAGCAATCGCCCAGCAGCCCCTGCTTCACCTGTCCTTCCCAAGGGTTATCTGGGAATAGCCGGGGCGTGGCACAAATTTCCTAAAATAAAGAAAATCATCCAATCTTAGTGTATGCCCGATGGCCAGCCTTCAGGAAGGACACAAAGATGCTGCCTGATCATTTCTGATCATTGGAGTTTCCCCACCCAAAACGAGGGGTGTGGGGGGAGCTGGCTCCTCCTAGCCATTATCCTTCAAATCCTCCTGGCTTCAGATCCAGATTCAGGGGGCCAGTTCAAACTCAGCTGTGTCCATCTCTATCCTCCTACCCTCTTGGCAAAATCCTCGACTCTAGCTGAATTCAACCATGCCCCTTCTCAAAACAACTAAATACTGGTTTAGAAAACAATTTCACCTCATAAATTAATAATGGCACGGGGTTCTCTAAACGCTGGAAAACTTACCACTTTCCCACAAGGCTCCATATCCCACACTTCTCCCTTCCCCCTCGTGTCTCACAATGTCCATGCTGCCCCTGCCCATGCTCCTGAGCTGTTGGCCTCCCTCCTGCTTCACCAGAAGCCACTGGCCTGACCTCTCCTGCCATGTGCTCAGTTTTTCGCCCCCAGGTGTAGGCGAGGAGAGGCACCATCTTTAAAACATGTCCCTTGGTGTCACGGCTGCTTCCCAATGACCTCCTCAGGAGCACGACTAGGTTGTTCCTCCCTCATGCTCAACACAGCCCCTGCTAGACTGTCAGTCATGTTCCCAACACCTCCACCAAGTCACCCCCACAGTGTCACTTCTGACAGCACCAACCCCTGAAGGCATGCCAGCAAGCCCTCTGGGCTCCCACAGTCCACACGCTCCTCCCGACCAACTGCCCTCACAGCCTTGGGTCAGGCACTTGTTTCACCATGCCCAACACCTTCGCGCTCCCTGGGCTCAGCCTTTCCCCTCGGACACCCATCCTCCCACATCACATGCTCTTCCATGCCCTGGACCAGATGCAAATTTTACTCCATACCCATAGGGAGGCCTCTATAGAGCCCAGCTCTTCCTAACAGCTCCACCTGAACATGGGGAGTAAACCCAACTCCAGAGCACCCTAGACTCTCACCCGGACCACCACCAATCCAGTTTCTCAGGCCAAACATTGAGAAATCATTCTTGATTCCTCCGTTATCCTCAACTTCACCAGTCTCTATGGCCTGTCCAGCTCCCTCCAAAGTAACCTCAAGTCCGTCTATTCCCAAGCCTTGCCCTCTGCTGCTCGTGTACCAGAGCGTCCTGCAAGGGCCATAGGCACTCTCGCCTCAACAATCCACTTCCTGCCCAGGAGTATCACTAAGCTTCTTTCTTTTCCCACAGTGCTGCTTCTTTCTTGTTGAATACGGTTATTATTATGAATAGATGTGAACTCGATAGTTACAACATTTAAAAAATTGCCATGAAAGAATAAAAAGCTATTAGATACATTTTAATGCCACCCTGTCATCCTCTGCTCCAGTCCCCTACAAGTGAACTTCTTAAAAGAGAATTCCATAGAATCATTCCTTTATCAAAAACTTTCTACTGGGGCTCATTACACCTAAATCCCATTTTTTTTGGGGGGGGGGGTTACTGGACATTGAACTCAGGGGCACTCAACCACTGAGCCATGTCCCCAGCCCTTTTTTAATATTTTTATTTAGAGACAGGATCTCACTGAATTGCTTAGGACCACTAAGTTGCTGAGGCTGGCTTTGTACTCGGATCCTCCTGCCTCAGACTCCAAGCCACTGGGATTATGGGACGCTTACAGCAGCCCAATCGGTGGGAGTGTTGGCAAAATCCAAAACTGAATTTCTACAACTGTTTTGCTTTGTGGGCTTAATCTGACCCTTCCAGAAGGGCACAAAGGGACCTCAGAGCCTGAGAACGGCAATCACAAGCAATGGAACAGGAAAGCTTGTGGCCAGAAGAGGCATGTGGAGTGGAAGCCAGGTGTAGACTCTTCGGAGAAAAAAAACAGGGGCTGGGTATTTCATCTGTTGTTGTGCCTTGAGCAACAACCTGCTCCTGAGGGTCAAGTTCTCTAGCTGAACTCAGACAAACTGTTCAACTGACTTGGAAATTCTAGGAGATCCAAACTTGTCTGCATACTCTGCAGTGTGTGGTGCAGCCTGGTTCTACATCCACTAGAGTCCTGGGATGTGTGGAACAGCAGCCACCCTTCCCTAGGTTGTTCCCACATGCTGTGGCTGTGTGTAACGATCCCGACTTCTCCTGTGCATCGGCTCTTGGCATGCATGTGCATCGGCTCTTGGCATGCATGTGCAAAACGCCGAGGCCTGTGGGAACAACGAAGAGGGCGAGAGGTCTGAGTGGCCGTACCGGGACTTACATTTGGCCACAAGTATGTGGTGGAACAGAATGGCAAACAATGCTTTCCTTTCCCTTCTGCACAGGGGAACAATTTCATTCAACTAACGCCTCGCCTCTGGGTCTCATGTGGTCGTGGTACAGACCTCCCGGGGCAAACTCCCCACGAGCGCATCTGAGCAGCACGCCGTGGGTCGGCTCCGCAGGTGGGGCAGCGCCCGCCGGTCCTGGCGCTCCACTCCTTCCCAGCCCACCTGAGGGGCTGCGAGGCGCGCGCCGGCCTCCCGCCGCACCCGCCCGAGACCCGCCCAGGCCGGGCCCCACCTGGGGCCGCCTCCAGGTGATGTCCTCCCGAAACTGGGCCAGCGGTGTGGACAAGTTGAAAAAGAGCGACGAGTCGGAGGCGGGGAACGCCGCGTCCCGGAAGAGCTCCCGCGCCGGCGCCGGCGCCTCGCCCCGGCCCGCCAGCATCTTCGGCGCCCTGAGSGCCCATCTGCAGCCTGCGGACCCSGCCGCCGCCGCTGCCGCCGCTGCTCCGCGCCTGCCTCGCCCGCGGGACCTACGGGCGCTGGCCCCGCCGCGAAGCCCTGCGCTCCGTCGCCAGGTAACTCGGCCGCAGCCAACCAGGCGCGTCGCTCGGGTCAGGTGACGCAGCGGCCCAATCGCGCGCGAGCGTTGGCGGGCGCCAGCGGACTCCGAGCGCGCGGGGCTTCCGGGCCCGGCTCTCGCGAGGCTGCGCCGTCACCCCGGCCGTCCTTCTCCCGGAGCCGGCGGGCGCTGGGACCGCGCCGACCGAGGCCCCTTCCCCCTCCGGACGGGGCGGGAGCGCCGCGGACCTGAGAGGGCGGCCGGGGCGAGTCGGCGCCGCGGACTGCAGATCCCAGCGCCCCGCGCGGCTCCCAGAAGGCGCCCTCCTTCCGGCGCTGCGCCGCCGGGGAGGCGTTACCTGGGCGGGCCGCGCCCGGGCTGGGCGTCGGGCTGGGCGGTTGGGGCGGCCGCCGGGTTCCGGGGGGCAGGAGCGGCCGCGGAGCTCCGTGGGTCGRGACGGCCGGGCGTCGGGTCTCCCGGACGCGCGGGTACCGCTCGTGGCCGCTCTCTGCCACGGGGAAGTGAGGGCAGGGCCTCACGACCGTGCTGCAGGACCTGGGTGTCCACTGCCAGGACGGAAGCCGAGGCCTAGGGCCCGCTAGGGGAGAAGAGGAGCGGCCCATCCTTCTAGTGGCAGCTGTCTGTCTCCTGATAGTGCAGCCTTGGAATCTGAAAGGTAGTCAGAACAAAGCTCTTTTTCTGCAGTTAGGTGAGAAAAGTCCCTAGTGCTGGAAGAGAAACGAACCTGGCCCAGGACCCCTGCCCTTAGCTTCTGTCTGCCTTGGAGTCCCAGGTGCCGGTGAAAGCTGCGATTCTTCCCAGTGAGAGGCTGGACAGGGCCTGTCTTAGTGCTTCGTGTGCCAGGAGGCTGTAATCCCTTGACCTTGTCAGCCCCCAGCCCCATAGTTTGGGGCCCAGGATACTCATCTCCTTGTGAACATTCTAGAAAAGGAAGTGACCACATAGCCCAACTCCTGTCTGGGATGCTTTTTGCTCATTCAGCACAGAAGACAGTTGTGACTCTTTGGCTGGCTGGTGGCTGCACCAGACCTAAAAGGAGTCAGGAAGGACCTGGGCTGTGCTTCACCTGGGGATCCTGTAGGAGTAGAAGACAAATCTCTTCCCTGTCCTAAGTGCTGAGCAACTGGTTTACCCTGCATGACTAGCAGAACTGGGACCAGCCTGGATCCAGACTCATCTGAGGCTTCCTGTGCCACTCACCCATGTTGACAACCTCTGGAAARCAAGCAGCTTCCTGTGGCCACACCTTTCCAGGGTTGGGCCTATGCCCAGAGCCAGATCCCCAAGATCTGGAAGGGGCCAGGAGACAGTTGGTGCTGGATAGGTAGCAACCTAGGCCTGCAGGATGAGTGAGTGACCAGCATTGCTTCTCTTTTAGCTAGAGGTGGCATCAGGACAATTCCAGTCTGCTCGCATTTTATAATTTATGTCCCATGGTCCTGTCCACTGTCCCAGAGTGCAGAGGTGTGCCCTCAGCTGATTTGGAGAGCTTCTTCCTCTCCTTCCTGGGTCACCCCCATCCCTGACTCTGGCTCCTGGGGTAACAGGAGGGGTTGGAAGCAGCGTGGAGTGATGTTAAGAAGGGGTATGGAGGCAGCTGGTTCTTGTTCCCAAATCTATGGGCTCTGGACTGAGATGTTTATTTAGTACTGCACTGAAGGTACAACCCTTTTTGTCATACATGGCACAGCTTCTGTCACCTCTGCCCACAAGAACACTGGTTTTAGTTGTTTGGTTTCTGGCAGCTAAGTCACTTGGGGAGTTTGACCTCTTCCCAGCTCCAAGGTCAGAAGTTCAGAAAGTACCATGTGCCCCAGGTTGGCAGTAAGGCACAAGTAGTCTGGGGGCTGCCAGGGAGGTCTCTCCCCGGTCCACAGAAGACACAAGGGCATACATCCTCTCCTATCCACAGATGCCAGGTCATGTGGATGGAGTGCCAGGAACTGTCACAGTAGCTAGCAACCACACAGAGCTGAGCCCCAGGGCAAAGAGCATGCTGCTGAAGACCTGGAACAGAAAGGACAAGCTGGCCACTGGCAGTTCTGCTGAGCCCTGGGCTGATCAGGGCCAGAGTTATCTCACCTGGGCTCCTGGGCCTGTGGTACCATTGATTCAGTCTTACTGTTGGAGTAATTTTGAGTTGCAGCTTTCATTGTAGCAAAACAGACTTGCAGGCCTTCTGTATTAACTACATACAGCTGCCTAACAAGTTACCCCAGTACTTGGTGGCTTAGAACTGCCAACATTATCACAGCTTCTGTCAGGAATTTGGTAATATAAATAGTTCTGGCTCAGGATCTCTCAGGAAGAAAATCAAATGTCAGGCCAGAGCTGACCTCCTCGGAGGGAGGGCATGGCTACAGCTGGAGGGTCCATTCCAGAGTCACCTGAAGCCCTGCTTTCCCACCATCTGGATGCCCAGGAGGCTTCTGGAGCGTCCTTACCACATGGCCTGCAGTTCTTCTAGAGCAGATAATCCAAAAGAAAGGGAAAGAGGAGGCTGAAGTGTGTTGTATGGCCCATCCCAGGTGGCATATTCCGTCCTTCCCACATGGCATCATTGGAAGCAAGTCGCCAAGTCCATCCCAGTCTAGGAGAGAAGCATTGCTATTGGTGGCAGTGTTTTAAGACCCCTGCATGCCCAAGGAATGAGATGAGGGCGGTGGCATGTGTAGAGGACCACTGCAGCCGCATCCTCCAGGGAGGGCCTGTCTRCCAGGCCCAGGGCTCTTATGTGGTCCAGAGGAGAGAAATGGGACTGGAGGATGGAGGGAGACTGCATGTTTGCATTTAAAAAGATCTCTCACTGCTGTGTGCTCAAAGCAGCCCCTGTCTAGGGCAGCAGGGAAGGTAAGATAGATGTGTGGCACATGACTGTAATCCCAGTTGCCGCATCCAGCACAGATGGTTAATTTACGGCCACTCGGGAAATTCTCAAGGCGTTAGAAATAAAACACACACAATTTACCTTTAAACCAAGTACTGGGACGGCTCCCCTGCCCGTGGCCTCATGCTCTCCAAAGGAGAGCGAGGAACTACACCGAGGCTGGGGAGAGAGAGAGCAGGAGAGTGCAAGCCAGAGCGCAGGCTTTGGAGTGAGCTTTTATTGGGGGAATCTAAATTCTTAGGAAATCCCATCCAATGAAGGTCAAGGGGGGCGGGGTTACAAGGACAGGTGAGGTGATTGGATCCCTGGGGATGTGGAGTTCTGCAAGAAGACACAGTGGCTTGCACCCTAGAAGAAGGGGCTCTCCAGCAGTGTGACCACTGGAGACCATATGGGATACCACACATTTCAGCAGGAGAGTCAGGTGCTAGATTGGCCTCCCACACCCAGTGACTTGGAAGCTGAGACAGAAGGATAGAAGTTTGAGGCCAGCCTGAGCAATTTAGTGAGAGCTTGTCTCAAAAAATAAAAAGGACTAGGGATGTAACTCAGTGGTGAAGCTCCCCTGGGTTCAGTCAGAAATATCCAAGAAGAACAAAAGGCGCTTAGTGACTAATCATCACAAGGTGGGATTGCAGGTGCTCTAGGTGGTGGCACCACAGGATGGGAAGAGAGATTAACTTTGGACCCCATCAGATCAGTAAGCCAGTAGGACAAAGAACAGTGGAGCGTGCACACAGCTTGGTTTTCAGGTCTAAAACACAGGGTAGTTCAGGCCCGTGGCCAGGGAAGACCTGCAGCCCGTGTTGTCCACCTGCTGGGGAACAGGCCTGCTGTCATGTCCCTGCAGGGCCAGTTTTCACTATGCACATCCTGCCCCTTCAAGCCTGAAAAGTGACACGGGCCTGGCACCTGCCCAGTGGGCCTAAAAGGGGCCCCAGGCAGCAGCCCAGGCTCCAGAATCTCCAGTGTTGTTAAGCAAAGATCCCCTGGACCTGCCCAGCTAGAGTCCTGGCCCTTCCTGGAGCCTCTGCTTCCCCATCTATAGTCCCATGGTAGTGCCTGTTCGACGGTCTTGAGGAGCAAATTAGGAATTGGACACAAAGCAGGCGGCCAGTCCTGGGCCACAGGGAGTGGTCAGCAAAGGTACTGTTCTTGGGCCTCCAGGAGTGGCCAGTGGCATTCACAGTCCTGGTCCTTGAAGGACAGCAACAGTTATGGTCCTGGGCTTGGAGGGGGTTGTCAGTGACCCAAGCATGGATCTCCTTCTGGGAAATTTCTCAGATTGATACAGTGGSGGTGGGGTCCTAGAAGCTTGGGTTTCTTCCCTTTCCCACATAAACACACAATTTACCTTTAAACCCAGCACTAAAGGTTCCAGGTAGAGGAATCCTTCCAGGCAGGACTAGAACAGGAACCAGCTTGGTCTTTCCTGGCCCATAGTTGGCTTTCTAAGGGTAGTGAAGAGGGTTTACCTGGGCGAATACAAATACCAAAGACTTGAAGGGACGAGCTGCCTTTGGAATGTTGAGTGTTGTTTGTGTGATCCTTACGCATCCCAGAGGTCGGCATTCCTGTCCTGTTTTATGAGTGAAGAACTCAAGCTTCATAGGCCGCAGGCCATGGCCGAGGACCATACAGGAGGAAAGACCAGCATCTGTACTTCACACCAGGCAGGCCTAGTGCACTCTGCTCACCACAGCAGAGCAGGGGCTCTTTTTTGGTGATATTTTAGATAAGCCTTGTTTTTTTCCCATTACAAAAACAATACATGGTTCTTATAGGATTTTTTTAACCTATTATCCCCAGGTGTGTTCTTAAACCTTATTATGAGTATTATGTAGATAGTCTCCAAAGTTGGCTTCTGTCCTTAGAGGTGAGCAGATTTTAGATGTGGGCTGTTGCCAGTATCACGGTTGTTGAATCCACTTGAGAGACTGTGAGGCTTTTGTTTGTTCATTCATTTTGAACAAAGAGTGCTCTCTAGGCAGCAGTGGTCTGAACACTCTGCCTTGGCCAGCAAGAGCTCTCTCAGGTCCTGTGCTGAGCCTAGCGGCTCTGGCCACACC